ATGACAACAGTGTACCTGCTCTTGAATCTCTTACAATGTTAAACAGTTTTCGGATCAAGTACCCACATACTGTACACTCACCAGCAACTTTATTAGGTACACCAGTTCAATTGCTTGGTAACACAAATTGCTAATCAACCAAACACATGGCAGCATCTCAAGGCATATAGGCATCTAGACGTGGTGAAGACGACTTGCTGAAGTTCAAACTGAGCATCAGAATGGGGAAGAAAGGGGGTTTAAGTGATTTTGAACATGGCATGATTTTTGGTGCCAGATGGACCAGTCTGAGTATTACAAACACTGCTGATCTACTGGGATTTTCATGCTCAACCATCTCTAGAGTTTACAGAGAATGGTCCGAAAAAGAGAAAATATCCAGTGAGCGACAGTTGTGTGCCTTGTTGAGGTCAGAGGAGAATGGGCAGACTGGTTGCTGCAACATTCAGATGGTGGGGTCAGAATTTGGGGTAATCAACATGAAAGCACGGATCCATCCTGCCTTGTATCAACGGTTCAGGCTGGTGGTTGTGGTGTAATGGTGTGGGGGACATTTTCCTGGCACTAGCAAGGTGTACCTAATAAAGTGGTTGATGAGTGTAGATTGGACGTGTATATCTGAATCTGAGTGAAATTCCTGTATTTTACTTGTAGTTTCTGAGGTTGTAGTTTGATTTTGTATAGAGCAGATATATATGTAATCACACAACACTATTATTTAAACTGGATTAGAGACATGCCTCAGAGCAATAAAAGTTCATTAACCATGTAGTTCTACATTTAAATACACTGTTATATCAATGATCTCTTGTCTAGGTCTGCTATGGAAACAATTCTGCAGGCCAACAAGTAAGACAAAAGCCTTGAAATATATGCAAAAGACTTTGGTTGGGTTTAACATGGTTACAGTCTCACTGCAATACATCTGATACTTTCAGTACACTCCTAACAAACTCTTCTTACTTTGTCTACAGTCTTTCACATCCCCATCAAGCCCTTTACCAGATGGTCTTTATGCAACAAATGAAGATGACCGATTTCACTACTCTTCTGAATGACCTCGCTCAAACCTGCCGGGAACTAGAACAGATTAAAGCAGACCAGACTAAAGATCACGAGAGAGTGTCCAAGTCATTTGAAAAGACTCTACTCTCCATCCTAAAGCAGGAACAGACCATTCTTAACCGTGTGGAAGTAGAGCATGGAAGACTGAGAGACCAGTTGTCATCCATCCAGCAAAGCAATGAATTGGTCCTACAAAATGGGGTTTGTGAGATCAATAACATGGTGCAAGAGATTGCTACTGTATCCTCCCAACTCAAGCAAGCGCTGGTGACCTCAAGTGACAGCCAACTCGTCATGAAGGAGATCCAGCAACGAATATCAAATATATTTGCAAGAAAAAATAGCATCTGTATCAATCTAAAGAAGGTGTATTTCATTCCACAACCTCTTGGATCTACCACACTTGGGGTGATACATTCTGAGAAACAATCTCTGGGTTTCTCCACACCACATTGTAATAGGAAAACTCAGTCACCTTTGGGAAGAAACTCAACTATCCAACCAACACTTCTGATTGATGAAAGACCTCCATGGGATGTCAAATCGCACAACCCAGATGATTTTGGCTTTGTTGGTGTGAAAATCTTGTTGGAAGATGACAGCGATGGAGACTGTGGATCCAGCACACAGTCATCATCTTTAGAACAGAACAAAGGAGACATTGCTGATCTGAAACTGGGGGTTTCTTCAAGAGATAAAGCAGTGGTGGAAGCTGACAATGCAGCTCTAAGCCCCCGAACAGCCACCAAGAAATGGATCTCTGACATTAAGCAAAGTCCTCCAAAGCAAGGTAAGCAGCATGGACCAAGATCAATGAACCAGGCTGAGGAAAGCAGCAAATTAACCAGACAGCAGCCTTTAAGCAAGCAACTCTCAAAAGACTCATCACTAGTCAACAAAAATGTCAACCAACAAGTAAATCACTTTGTAGCAGGAAAGCACCAAGATTCTAAAAAAGGCAGCTCGGGTTTAAAAAAAGATCCTGATGGTCATCAACAGAAGGCAGTGATAAGCTCAAAAGAGACTGGCAACACAGCTGACCCTCGGAATAGCAGAGATAATGAACTGAGAAATGTTAACAATGATCAAGTTAGGACAACATCTGAAAACAATTCTCTGTTCAGAGCAACTACTGCATATATATGTGAAGGTGACTCAGAAAGCTCAGAAGAAATTTTAGAAGAAGTAGAAATGGATACAATAAGGGACCCAATGTCTTGCCGACAAGTGGCTCTTAGGGAAAGTCGGGTGCCATCTGCCAAGAAAATGATTGGTGGAGACCAACGGACATTGTGGATGACTATGGAGTCACACAGCCAGATGGACAGGACTGGTGGTGAAAACTCACCTACTTCATATTTAAACAGACAAAATGTAGAAAGCGACCATCCTCAATCAGTGCATAGAACACAGTTGGGCGTTGACTATCTTCGAATGTCTGATGAGATGTCAGATAGTCTCAATAGTGAACTTCTGAACGTTCCAAGACCGACTTCTCCCACGGACAGCGTGAAGTCAACATGCACCTTTATAATAGAGAAGCCAAAGAACAGAGGAGTTTCCAAATCTGGTACATTTAAAGTTTCATCTTCAAAAATGCAACCTAATGAATCTGGAAAGGGTCACCCTATTATCTCAGAATCTGAAAACCCAGAAGTAAATCAAAGGCAACAAGCACTAGCGAACGCAAGGCACAGAATTGTATCAAAGCTCAGAAATCAGCAGTCACAGGCTACCTCCTCCTGGAAACCTGTACCAAGGTCCTCTTCAATGCCTTACATTGAGAAGATATCAAGGCCACGCACTGCTCCTTCTAGACTTCACAGGCCAACTTCAGCTAAAGAAAGACGCGATTCTGTATCCAGCTCTTCAAGTTCTTGGTCCAACCCCAGAAGCCTGGCCACGGCTGCCCCATCTAGTGCCCTTCGTGAAATTAAAGTGCGAGTTAAATCCACACAATACAATAGGAAGGTTTCTAAATATTACCAACAAATTCCAGCTCGAAAATGTTTAAGCAAGAGTGAGTCCAACCTTACTGACAGCCCTCTGGAAAATGGTGATGGCACAACCAAATTAGTTCGTCAGTTTGGCAAGTTTGGATCTGGCAGAGCTGAGTTAAACCTGCCCCATGGGATTTACGCCACAAGCACAGGTTCTGTATATATTGTAGATTACGGAAACCGAAGGCTCCAAGTGATGGACAGCAAGGGTAAGGTCCTCCAACAATTTTCTCTTGAAGCAAAGAACTATTTTGATGTGGCTGTGAGCAACCGAGGGCTTGTGGCATTGACCAACTCAACTGACCGCACCTTGGATGTGTACAGCAAGCACGGTCGACTCCTACAAGTAATTTCCAGAAACTGGGGTGCTCCACGTGGCATAACCGCCAACTACAAGGATGAATTTATTGTGGCAGACATGAAACTGGGAACTGTCTGTGCTCTTATGCTGGACTCTACCACTGGGCGGCAGAAAGAAAGCACTGTGGTACCTGGGTTCAACAAACCTTACCTTGTCAGTTCCAACAGTCAGGGTCTTCTAGCTGTATCAGAGAGAGGTTTAGATGGAGGATGTTGCGTCAAGGTGCTCAGGGAAGACTGGCAACTTCTCATGGTTCTAGGCCTCAAGGGATCCCCTGGGTCCAGTCTGTGTAACCCATGGGGTGTCTGTGTCGACAGTGAAGGAGGGGTTTTGGTGGCAGACTGGGGACAGAAACATTCCATTATTTACTATCCAGCCAACAAGCGGACCCGAGTTCTGGTAACAGAAGGTCTCAGTAGCCCCAGAGGCCTAGCTCTGTTGCACGACGGTCTCTTACTGGTGGCTGACAGCATGCACAACTGCATCAAGGTGTTCAAATACCAAGAGAATGATTAGTCACTTTGAAGTGGAACTTACATAAAAAGTATAAAGTCTGTTTATTTATTTCCTCCCCACCCCCACCCACGCCAGAAGGTCACAAAGCATTTCCAAAAATCTATTGGGATAAAAGTTATTTATCATACTTACTTAGGTGCCTAGGTGAGGGTGACTCCTAGACTACTCCGCATTCCCCGAGATCTCATTGGAAGAATGGGGACCTTGCATTCACGGTGACACTGAAGACACTTTAGAGGAACATATGATATGTGAAGCTTTTCATTCATCAAGGTCAGGGGTCTCCAAGCTTTCCAGGGCAAAAAAAAAAAAATCCTTATTATGGTCCTCATCAGAGTCCCCCTGACTTTAGATTCTCCATCAAAGTCCCCCCTACATTAGTATCCCTCTCAGAGTCCCCGCTTACATCAGATTTCCCATCAGAGCTCCCCTCACATCACATTCTCCAGCAAAATCCCCCCTTACATCATGTTCGCGACCAGAGTGCCCCCTTACATCAGGTTCCTCATCAGCATTCCCTCCATACATCAGTTTTCCCATCAGGGTCCCCTTACATTAGGTTCATCATCAGAATCCACCTTAAATCAGAGTACCCCTTACATCAGGATCTCCATCAGAGTCCACCTCACATTATATTCCCCATTAGAATACCCCCCTACATCATGTTCCCTACCAGAGTTCCCCCATACATCAAATTCCCCATCAGGGTTCCTCTCAGAATCCCCCCCTTACATTATCTTCACCACCAGAGTCCCTGCTTACATCAGGTTCCTCATCAGGGTCCACTTACATCAGGTTCCCCATCAGAATCCACCTTACATTAGATTTCCCATCAGAGTCCCCCTTACATCAAGATCCCCATCAGAGTCCACCTCACATTACATTTCTCATTAGAATCCCCCCCCCCCCTTTACATCATGTTCCCCACCAGAGTCCTACCTTACATCACGTTCCTAATCAGAGTTCCCTCCATGCATCAATTTCCCCATCAGGGTCCCCTTATAATAGGCTCCCCATCAGAATCCCCTTTACATCAGGTTCCCCATCAGAGTGTCCCCTTACATCAGATTTCCCATCAGAGTTCCCCCATACATCAGGTTCCTCATCAGAGTTTCCTCCATGCATCAGCTTCCCTATCAGGGTTCCCTTTACCTCAGATTTCCCATCAGAGTCCCCCTTACATCAGATTTCCCATTAGAGTTGCCCTATACATCAGGGTCCCCCTTACATCAGGTTCCTCATCAGAGTTTCCTCCATGCATCAGCTTCCCTGTCAGGGTCCCCTTTACCTCAGAATTCCCATCAGAGTCCCCCTTACATCACATTTCCCATCAGAGTCCCCCCTCACATCAGGGTCCCCCTTACACCAGGTTCCCCATCAGATTGCCCCCATACATCAGGTTCCCCACCAGAGTCCCCTTACATCACGTCCCCATCAGAGTTTCCTCCATACATCAGGTTCCCCACCAGAGTCCCCCTTACATCAGGATCCCCATCAGAGTCCACCTCACATTACATTTCTCATTAGAATCCCCCCCTTACATCATGTTCCCCACCACCAAAGTCCTACCTTACATCAGGTTCCTAATCAGAGTTCCCTCCATGCATCAATTTCCCCATCAGGGTCCCCTTATATCATGCTCACCATCAGAATCCCCCTTACATCAGGTTCCCCATCAGAGTGTCCCCTTACATCAGATTTCTCATCAGAGATCCCTCCTTACAGCAGGATTCCCATCAGAGTCCCCCCTTACATCTGGTTCCTCATCAGAGTTTCCTTCATGCATCAGCTCTCCTATCAGGGTTCCGTTTACCTCAGATTTCCCATCAGAGTTCCCCTTGCATCAGGATCCCCATCAGAGTCCACCTCACAATACATTCCTCATTAGAATCCCCCCCTTACATCATGTTCCCCACCAGAGTCCTACCTTACATCAGGTTCCTAATCAGAGTTCCCTCCATGCATCAATTTCCCCATCAGGGTCCCCTTATATCAGGCTCACCATCAGAATCCCCTTTACATCAGGTTCCCCATCAGAGTGTCCCCCTTTCATCAGATTTCTCATCAGAGATCCCGCCTTACAGCAGGATTCCCATCAGAGTCCCCCCTTACATCTGGTTCCTCATAACAGTCCCCCGTTATATCAGATTCCTCATCAGAGTTTCCTTCATGCATCAGCTTCCAGATCAGGGTCCCCTTTACCTTACATTTCCCATCAGAGTCCTCCTTACATCAGATTTCCCATCTGAGTTCCCCCATATATCAGGGTCCCCCTTACATCAGGTTCCTCATCAGAGTTTCCTCCATGCATCAGCTTCCCTATCAGGGTCCCCTTTACCTCAGAATTCCCATCAGAGTCCCCCTTACATCAGATTTCCCATCAGAGTCCCCCCTCACATCAGGGTCCCCCTTACACCAGGTTCCCCATCAGATTGCCCCCATACATCAGGTTCCTTCTCAGAGTTCCCTCCATACATCAGGTTCCCCACCAGAGTTCCCCTTACATCAATTCCCCATCAGAGTTCCCCCATACATCAGGTTCCTCATCAGAGTTTCCTCCATGCATCAGCTTCCCTATTATGGTCCCCTTTACCTCTGATTTCCCATCAGAGTCCCCCTTACATCAGGTTCCCCATCAGATTGCCCCCACACATCAGGTTCCTCCTCAGAGTTCCCTCCATACATCAGGTTCCCCACCAGAGTCCCCCTTACATCAGGTCCCCATCACAGTTTCCTCCATACATCTGGTTCCCCACCAGAGTCCCCCTTACATCAGGTTCCCCATCAGAGTCCCCTTATATCAGAATTCCCAGCAGAGTCTCCCCTTACATCAGTTTTCCCATAAGAGCACCCCTTACATCAGGTTCCCCATCAGGTATCCCATCAAAGTCCCACCCTTGCCATCAGAAGTGGACACCATAGGCAGCCTCAGCCACTGACCCTAGCTGTGGGCCAGATAAAATCTTGTATCAGGCCGGATGTGGCCCCATAATTTGGAGACCCCTGATCTAGGTCATGACATACCTAGTAGCAATCCCATTCCACTGACTGTATAAAGGAGATCTAAACCCGAAAACAAACCCATCATATGTAGCTTACCAGTCCTTAGATGTGGTGGCCGCATTCGTTTTCTTTATTTTCAGGTTAACTCTATTTTCTGCAAATACAGAATAGTAACCATTGATCCTGCCACAGTGTCCTTGTCCTCGGCACCTAACCAGTATACCAAACAATGTTACTCCCAGCTATATTCTGTGAACTACAAAAGAATTCCTCCAGAAGACTATAGGAGGGGTTAGTAGTCCAAATCCATAGACACAGTTCTGGGAATGATTAGGACAGGATGTGTGTTAGTGGCAGGATCATCTGGCGAAAATAAAGGAGAAAAAACTCATAAAAAGAAAACAAATGCAGCCACCACATCTAAGGACAGGTAAGCTGAACAAATGTTCTCGGGTTTTGATACACGTTAATAATCACGATGTCTGCCATTGCTGAGCTCCCGGGCTGTCATGCTGATGCTTTTTTTTTTTAACCCCTTCACGCCGGCACCTCCTGGCCCTTTAAATGTTCCAGAAGCCGGGAGGCGGAGCGGGGTTTAGGGTCATGTGAGAGGCGGTCACATGATCGGGAAAGGTCCCAATCGAAAGAGGAGATCGGGACCTTCCCGTGAGTACCGGACATGTGTGCTGGGAGCGGGCAGGGCGCGCTCTCTCTCAGCACATATGTACTTTTTTAATAGAACACAAATGTGCGGCCGCTCGGCATCTACGCCCAGACACCGGGAGGCCGCACATTTGCGTTCGGTCGGCGTAAAGAGGTTAAATCTGAATTTGATCCTGTACCAACCTCTTGTAGTCCCCTCTACAGCTCAGGGATCAGACTGGGAGAGGAAAAGGCAGCACACGAAATCAGTCCCTGGGGGCATACTGATAGGAGGAAAGAGCAGAGTGACAGCAAGATGAGCTCAGATCTGTGTGGAGCTGTCCAGTCACAGGCTGGGGGCTGGTCCATGACTGACCTGGGCTCAGAGGAAGTGGCATAAAAAATGCCGGGCAGTATTCAATCACGGGTGTCAAACTGGCGGCCCTCCAGCTGTTGCCAAACTACAAGTCCCATGAGGCATTGCAAGATTGACAGTTACAGGCATGACTCCCAAAGGCAGAGGCATGCTGGGACTTGTAGTTTCGCATCAGCTGGAGGGCCGCCGGTTTGACACGCCTGAGTAGAAGACTGAGGACATCTAGTGCTGGGAAGTAGTATGGCAGATACAGCTTTGGATTGAAGATGGATGTTGCCGCAAATTTGGTTTTTTTTTTTAGATTTTTATCCTTCGGTTATCTTTTTTTTTTTTCGGAGACTGACACAGCCAGGCAACTAGCATTTTCTTCCAGAGGCCAGTAATGGCAGCCCTGTGCTTCCCTCAAGGCCGAGTAAAGAGTCTGGTTGTATGTAACTTACTACTACCAGCTAATTGATTGTCTTCACCTTCTCACAAAGATCCGGAGTGTTTAGCCCCCCCAAAAAAAAATTGTCCGAAAGAACTCCGAAATAAAGTGATATATTTGGTGAGCGAATGTTCCCAGTGTTACTTCATTGAATCTAATGACCTATTCCATCGGACTGGGGGGTTCCGGTCTGTGTATGGGGCGGGGGTCAATGTCTCCGCAGTACGCCTTGGCTGGGTACGCTTTGGGAGTCTGATTATATATTAGGGCTACCTAACCAGGGGCAGACTGACAACTCATGGGGCCCCCCGAGCAGTAGAGGATCATGGGGCCCCTGTGTCCTTGCCCACACTCAAACCACACCTAAAAAAGCCTATGAAAGGTACCAGGGGCATCTCATGGGGCCCCCTACTGACCCCGGGCCCTCGAGCAGTGCCCGAGTACCCGAATGGTCAGTCCACCCTTGTACCTAACACTTCATCAAACCTGATATGGAAGCTGGGTATTCATTCGAAGGCGTCAGACAGCTTTCTGTGTCCCCCAAAGGGGAAATTACCCTTTACTTCCTGTCCTGGTGACCACACAGGAAGTGAGGGGAGAGCTCCATAAAGAAGAACTCTGGGCAAAATAAAAAATGGACTTTTATACTGCAGACTGCCTGTCGCATTAGAACTGCAGTTAGTTTTCTTCTGAGCCCCACATTAACCTGATTTTATTACCTGCTGATTCCAACAGTAGATCTGTTAATTTTCCATCACCTTTGACAGGGTGACAATGCTGCTCGTTCTGTAGTGAAATCGCACAGCAAAGTTGTCACCCTGTGGGCAGAGTGCTCTTGGATGCCTCCTGGTGGACCTGGAGGTTTAAATGCACTTTGAGCAAGCAGCAAGCAAACTAAAATCCAACCCCAGGAACACCTTTTACGTGGCTACAGCATTATCTGATACCGAGCTCTTCTTCAGTGGGAATGCGGGGGAACCTCCAGCACTGAATGTATGTTAATGGCAAGAGATTCTGGGGTGTGCTGGAAGGTCTATTGATGCAAGTGAGGGATCTACTGTATATTTGCTGGGGGGGGATCAATTGTTGCTGGGAGGGATCTACTGTTGAGGAAGAAGTCTATTGATGTTGGCTGCTGGAGGGTCTATTGATTGATGCAGCCTGATGAGAGATCTGTTGTTGCTGCTGGGGGTCTATGGTCGCTGGTGTGGATCTATTGTTATCGGGGTGGTATTTTGTTGCAGGGGGTCCATTCTTGCATTGAGGTCTATAGTTGTGTGTGTGTGTGTGGGGGGGGTCTATTGTTGCTGTGGGATCTAATGTTGCTGGAGCAGGATTTATTGTTGCTGGCTGCAGCTTTTGGTGGAGACAAGGGGGGAGTTCCTTTACCTATTCTCTGAGAAAAAAAGTCTAGATTATATATATCAGGGGCGGACTGACAACTTATGGGGCCCCCGGGCAATAGGGGATCATGGGGCCCCTGTGCCCTTGACCAAACTCAAACTACACCCAAAAAAAGCCTATGAAAGTTACCAGGGGCATCTCATGGGGCCCCCTACTGACCCCCTGGGCCCTTGGGCTATGCCCGAGTACATGAATGGTCAGTCCACCCCTGATATATATATATATACAGGTGAAACTTTAAAAATGAGAATATGGTGCAAAAGGTCATTTATTTCAGTGCAACAACTTAAAAGGTGAAACTAATAGAGAATCATTACATGCAAATCAAGATAGTTCAAGCCGTGATTTGTCATCATTGTGATGATTAAGGCTTACAGCTCATGAAAACCCCAAATCCACAACCTCAGAAAATGAGAATTTTGTGAAAAGGTGGAATATTCTCGGCTCAAAGTGTCCCACTCTAATCAGATAATTCAGCCATAACATCTGCAAAGGGTTCCTGAGCCTTTAAATGGTCTGTCAGTCTGGTTCAGTAGGAATCACAATCATGGGAAAGACTGCTGACCTGACACCATCATTGACACCCTCCATAAGGAGGGAAAGCCTCAAAAGGTAATTGCAAAGGAAGTTGGATGTTCCCAAAGTGCTGTATCAAAGCACATTAACCATTTGCCGCCCGCCCTATGGCCGAATGGCGGCCGGCAAATGTCATCAGCGTTCCGGTGGACGC